AATCTGTGGCGCACCGCCACAGATTAGAGACCGCCCGCCACAAATTGCGTTTCGTATTATTATATATATATTTTTTTTGTTACGCTATTTAAAACATGCATCGTCTAGTGCCGCCGCAGCGGTCAATTTGACAGCGGGGAGGGGGGTTTAAAATGTGGCGGCCCTTCGTAACTCTCACTCAAGCTACGCGTCTCTCCCACATACAGAGACCTATACACACACAGCCCCTCCCCTTCGTGCACACCGCGTGTCTCCGTCTCCATCAGCGATCATCGCTGTAAGCAGCTGTGTCTATTAATTTACCGCGGTAAAGTGGCCCGCATCTTTCAGCTCTATGAACATGCGGCCCGCATCGGGGAAAAGACGGTGCGCGTTTTGTTGAGAACTTACGGTAACAGCGGAACGTCCTTTCGGAGTCACCCATTTTTATCGAACAGAAAGCGCGCTGGGGTCAGGGAGACACGTTTTTGTGATTAAAACCTTATAGAGATGCCACCCGGCACACATAGCACCAGCCCCCTACGATTCCTCCGGCAGATTGTGAGTCCTCAGGAGGATAGCCACTCTATTGTTTACATGTATAAAGTACACAATTTGGTCCGCTAGTGCAATTTTCAAGTATTGTAACTATTTACTGGAATAAGGTGTGCGACTAATTTCACTTGACTCATAACCTTATTATTGCCCTCTGCCACTGTACCAAAGACCAGAAACTTTTACTGTAGAAATATTGAGAAATATTGAGGTAAAGTAGCCATTTTGGTCCAAAATACCTCCAAAATAGTCAAAACATGTCACTTTTGATCTACTGTAACTTTTTACTGTAAAAAGGTGTGCGACTAATTTCACTGGATTCATGACCTCAAGATTGTCCTCTACCACTGTACCAAAGACCAGACACTTTTACTGTAGAAATATTGATTTAAAGTAGCCATTTTGGTCCAAAATAGCCTAAAAATGGTCAAAACATGTCACATTTGATCTACTGTAACTTTTCACTGTAAAAAGGTGTGCAACTGATTTCACTGGATTCATGACCTCAACATTGCCTTCTACCACTGTACCAAAGACCAGACACTTTTACTGTAGAAATATTGAGAAATATTGAGGTAAAGTAGCCATTTTGGTCCAAAATACCTCCAAAATAGTCAAAACATGTCACTTTTGATCTACTGTAACTTATTACTGTAAAAAGGTGTGCGACTAATTTCACTGGATTCATGACCTCAAGATTGTCCTCTACCACTGTACCACTGTACCCCCACTCCCCCCCCCCTTAAATCACAACAGTCCTCTCAGAGGACTAAACAAAACCATTGAAATTGCCAACAAAGATCAGAGAATCAACAGTTAAGACACATAAAGAATATAGAACACATGTTGATAAATGTCCATAGATGTTGTAGAATGTTATAGTGTCCTGGATCATCACCACAGTCCTTCTTGGTGATGATCTGAAGTCACCCTTTATTAATAAAGACTTTGTGCCATGATGCCTCGTTTGGGATCTTCTTCCAGTCGCTCTGGCAGAGCCCAGAGGTCTCTTGGTTCTGGGCTGTTGTCAGTCCCCCTTCTTGTCTTGCCTGATGCCATACTCTCCCCTGGTCCGTCTTATGAATTACTTTTCTTGGATCAGATTTAAATGGGTCCTCTTGGCGGTGCCATCAAAAACATGATTGCCACAAAGTGTAGCCCTTCACACTCACTGTCTTGCCAACAGAGGACTATGGCTCTTGTTGATAAGTAAATATTTATCTTATTTCTATTTGAAATAGATGCATATGTATATATTTAATAGGCTGTTATTTTCTTTTTGCTGTACCTATATATGTGTGTGTGTGTTTTCTGCGTTCTTTATGAATAATTAACCATGAACATTATGAAAAATGTTGTTACAGTAACAATTCATAGTTTGCATTGACCGGCCCACATAATTGAGATACTGAAATTGGCTTTTCATGTAGAACATTGAAGAAAAAATTCTAACAATTTCTAAAAGCTTGTAGTAGTGCCACTTACAGCTAAGCATTAGCAATAGTGGATTTTTGCCACCAGGGGTCAGCATTTGAACATACTTGAGTTGAGCTGAGGAAAGACCCCACTCATGCCTAAAATGTCTGGAACACAGTGATTTTCGTTACATTTTTAAAAATGGTTCTTTTTCAAACAGCCTAACAATGTTATTAAGCACTATCAAATTATTACAGAATCACTGTGTGCAAGTAGAATTTTGAAGTTGTGTGTGTGATGTTTTCTGGGAAGTTTGCTGCTTCAGCTATAGACACCCCACAGGGTCGCTCTGTGTTCGCTCTAATACCGACATAATAAAAAGGCAATTGGGCAAGCTGCTTCTATAAATCAATTTGTCTTTCTTTTCTGTTTACGGCTGAAGTATTAGTCTCATTACCTTCTCCACTGGGGCATGTATTTCCAAGATAAAATATATAAAGATATATTCACTCTGGTGTCTTGAGTTCAATGGTAGTACTTTTCTTTTGAGTCTTTATTTATTATATATACATAAACACACAACTCACCTAAACCTTAAAAATCTGTGGAATCTGCATTTGAACTCCAGCCTTAATACATGAACTCGGTTGGAGCCTTTGCACTGTTCTGTTCTGTGTGTAAAGGCCCCATGGCTGCCGAACAAGAAACCATTGTAGCTGTGTTCTCCCACTGTGCCTGTTATGTATTCTGCTGAGGTTTTAAAGGGCTCCACACGTGCCACTGTTACTTACAAGAGCAACGTTATTAGGCTCATTAATGTCTATTTATGAGTCGCCTCACAGTAGAAGCTCTCAGATGTTTTGCACCTATGTGTGTGTCTGTGTGTATGTGCACTGGGGTGTATGTGTGTCTCTTTGTGTATGTGCGTGCACGTTTTATGCTTTCTATTTTATCTTATGGTATGCTAGAAAAGAGGGGGAAAAACTATTGCAATTCTGTGAAATAAAAATATACCCTTTAAAAATTACACTATCACATAATAGTTTGTTTATTTCAAAATAATTATGGCGAAATGTGTGTCATCTATGTAGTTGAATTGTGTCATCTATCTATGTAGTAGTGATAGGACTTGTTGTCACTGTGTTAACTGGCCTTACAGCAGCGTACAGGATGAACAAAAGAGGTCCCAGTATTTACCCTGTGGAGCACTGCCGGTCAAGGCCATTATCTGAAAGTCACACTCAGACAAATTTGGAATTTCCTTTCCTTATCATTGATCCAGAAGCCTGTGTTCCATCCACCATGACATGGACCATCCAAAAATGGCAGCCACATTATTGAAGACCAAAGAAAGAACAATCATGCTTCCTTTATTAGCCGTTTTAGCATAGGCAACTTTTAGCACAAGCTGATTTGGTTGATGCTCAAACTAGCCCAAATGCAGATCTGTTGACGTTTATTTGTCAACCTGAAGGTTGTCATTAACTTTAAACTTGTAAAGTAACACTAACATTTAGTGTAGGAACCCAAAATAACACAGCAACTATCAATATTTTATCTGAATGAGTTTTAACAAAAGAGGCGAGCTGCCATGTTTGATTTTCTATGTCAGTTGGATGGATGTGGGAAGTTCCATCCATCCATTTTCTACCCTTTAATCCATTTCTGGGTCAGGGGGGTGGCAATCAGAGATGCCACCCAAGTCTCATAGCACCAGCCCCTCACTGACCCTCTGCAGGTGGTGAGTCCACAGGAGGACGGCTGCTCTCTGAGTGAGAGCATAGCCTTGATCTTTCAGTGGGGGCTTTGGGCAAAGTGGGGTTAATTGTCTTGCCCAAGGACACAACAACAGCAGTCATCAGTGGGAGTCGGTGTAGAGGTGGGAATTGAACCCACGACCTTCAGGCCTGAAGGCCAATGCTCTACCAACTGAGCTACTGTCGCCCAGATGTGGGAAGTTGATTTTTTTCAACTGGGAAATATCCCACTCCTAGTTTTCTATGTTAAACAAATTCTTCTTTGTGCTGTAGCAACTTCCTATTTCTATTAAGTTTATTTTGATAGCTTGATAGATATCAGACGAACAAAACACATTTCAATTAATTCTTGTTCAAAAGGGAGTAGGAAGAAGTAAAAGCGTATGTTTTTTATTGTGTTTCATAATGTTTGGGCCAACGGGTTCATTGTGAAAAGAAAACTGGGGATGTGCCCTGTTCAAATAGATACTACATAAAATGCCAGAGCCACACTTGTGATAAGGAATGTGTGCTTTTGTACATGTGCTTTGTCCAGCTGCCTAAGGAGACTGTTCTGATTGGCTGTTAGGAACTATTGATGACATGTGTCTCTGGTTGTTCACTCCCTCATTCCCAGCTTTTCACATGGGAGCTTAGTTTAAATGTAAAACATGGAGCCTGCTCAGGTTCTGGCTCTAAGGTCTGAGGGGTGCTGCCCTTCTGTAGTATTCTTGTTTACAGTCACTCTTTTCTCTGAGCGTCTGTAACAGATTAGTGTGGATTACAATCCACAAAAACAAGTAGTAACTTGACACTTCTTGTTAACTCCAGTCCACTTTGGCCAAAGCCAGTTCCTGTTTTATACTTCACTAACCTCTGCTCTCTTCTTTCAAACATCTTTTGTCTGTTGCCCACAAAAGAAAGTAGCTTTGAGCAGACACAATGATGATCAGAGCTCCCTGGTAATAATGAGTGTGTCTGTGACATTCCTTCACAGCAACAGGAACCGTTTTCCTGCCATTCAGGAAACACACTTCCAGTTCTCCGGACATCATGCATGTGGGCTCATGCTGTGTACAACTTTGAGGGGGAGTGTCCGAGGGTGGAGCCTCACTTTACTTTGAGGCACTGCTCAAGTAGTTGGAGGTCTGATTGTTGCTTTCCACAGTCAGAACATAAAAAGAAGACATCATCTTTCTCTCCTCATGAGGACAGTCACAGCAATAGAAGACTTCTTTGTGAGGCTGCATCCCTGATGACAATAGGCTCTCGACTGAATCAGCACTAAGAGGCTCTCTGCTGTAGACTTGGACCATGGCTGGCGTCACAAGAAAGGGCTCTGGAAGACCCTCATATTACTACAGATTCCTGGGCAAGTCTCGACTGCAGCGTCAGCGCAGCAGGTCCCGCAGCCGCACAAGGCCGGCTGCCAACAGGGGTAATCGATGTTACTATTATGTTTATCAAGCTCAGATTTTACTGACCTCTGCACTTGGTTCTCCCTCCTTCTTTCTTTCGAACAAGTCAGATCTTGTAACTCACATTCTTACTATAATTGTGTTACATGTGTTCCAAAATGTTAACTTGTTAAAAACACACAAAAAACAGGATATACTCAGCCATCCAGACTGGGTGTCTTCTCAAATCTGTGTTTCTAAAAGTGCAACATGTTGGTGTAACTTTTCACAGGTTGATGTAACTTTCCACTTCGAGCTTCATGTCAGATTCCTATAAATTTAGGAACTATACTGACCATGAAGTGAGAGCATATTCTATTACAGTATTTTGCTATTTACAGTGTAAATACTATTTGCGTGTGTGTACGTGTGTATCAAAGCAGTTTGCTTGTTGCTTTGATGGTGTAACTAGTGTGTGTGTGCGTGTGTGCGTGTGTGTGTGTGTGTGTGTGTAGTATAGTAAACTGTCTACCTAGGTCTAGGTGGCACCTGGAATTAGCATGCACATGCCCCAAGATACAGAGGAAACATGTACAAATCACATACAGCCTTCTCTGTATTGGTGATGATTGTTCATGTGAACATTTCTAATGCAGATTATGCTATCAGAAAGCAGAATGTGTCTCTCATTTGGGCTTCCAGTTAATTTGGTGAACCAGCTAACACTTGCAGGGAGCAAAAACTCATCCGGAGCACCGACGTGTTATACATATGATAGCATGGAAAATGTGAACTTTGGTTGTTGGTGTTTCTATGCCGCTGGCAGAATAGTGCCACCTGTGAGAGATCGTGTGGGCACAGGGTCTTCTGAAAAGCTTATGGACTTTGAAGTCTCTTTTTCATATATTTTTCCACGTCTACCACACACAGCCCACTTTGACGTTTGTAGTATAAAGATCTTATAGTTCCTGATGTCTGTGGTTAACGCAAAACAGCCACAAGTGGAAGTAGAGGTCTCCTCCACATGTAGTAGATTGGTATTGTAGGCTTTGATTTACGTTGTTGTAGCTGATATATATATATTTTCTCACAGTAATTTTGTGACTGCTAATTAGATACAGTTCAGCTCTGCTCAAACATTCATTATCAGTGTACATAAAACAAAAAACAAACTGTCCTGAACATATAAGCAGTCCAAATGTGACATCATATATAGAGATTAACTTTTTGCATTTGATTGTACCTATCTTAGATTATGGGATCTTCCCAGTACAGAGTGGCATGTGTGCTGCTGAGCTCAGATGCTATTGTTTTCTTAGTAAGTGCCATTATCTGCTGTTGGAAAAAAGTTCTTTCAGTTTGTATCAGTCCCACAAAATCTGTTTCCCTTCTGAAAGACTGAAGGAAAGAAACTGCTCAGCATTTGATCAGTCCAGTCTGACTTTTATTGTATTTCAAGGTATTTATGTTTTTAAATGTTACCTATTCATTATTCATTATGATACATATTAATTGTAGTGGGTGGCCTAATATAAGTACTGTACATGGGGAATAACACACAGTAATGTACATGTGACTTTCCTTTTATCCTTTTTGTGTATGCACTGACCTACATTTTCATTGTAGTATTTGCAGGACATTAGCACCAACAGCAGCTGGCAGATACGGACAAGACTTATCTATTGTGTTTGGTTACACAGTTTCTAATTTCTATTGAAAGAGTTTGGTATTTTGAAAGCTTTAAAGCTTTCAGAAACATTGCTTCCTGCCTCTAGACTGTTGTGTTCCTTGTTTAACAAGAATCATAGGTACATAAAAAATAGGTCAATTTTTGGTAATACAATTTAGACTCCATCTGACCATAACATTTGGAGTTGTATCACAACAATGTTTTCTGGTTTCACAACATATTTCACTAAACTGAATTTTACTAACATGTTTTTGAGAATTTATACAAAAACACTGCAGAAATTCCACTCTATTGATTGTGTTTAAAACATGTTTCATTCATTTTAATGAATGAATTCATCACAATATTTATTATAGATTCTACACAAGGTCATTTAATACAATTTTGATGATTCAATTCAATTAAATGTATTTTTATACAGCCCTAAATCCCAACAGTAGTTATCTCAAAGGAATTTACAAAATGGTCAAATTCGCCAACCCAAATCAGAGAATCAAACAGTTCAACACAAAAAATGCAATGATACAAATAATAGAGCCAGGAATCGACTGCAATACATAATAAGCTCATTCTTGTGCTTAAAAGACTCTTTACTGTATAGACTATCAAACTAAGTACAGTATATAAGTACTTTAAAAGCAGTAAGTATGACATAAGCAGAGTGGATTCAAACAGTAATGTACTAGTATTGGACATTGTTACAGATTAATGAAATATAAGGTGTTAAATGCTCATTGTACAATCTGATAACAGCACAGCGAGGGTAGATCAATCTGTCACTGAAGATACTCTTCAGAGTAAACAGTGTCCTGCAGGGGTTGACAGTGATGGTCCAGCATATATGTTAGTTTGTCCTGGACCCCCTGTCTAGGGGACAGCCCAGGACAGAGCTGGACTTCCTTCTGACCATGTCACACATAGATAGTCTTCAGGAGTTGCCCTCGTGTATCCCCAGCAGGTACTTAGAGTAGCTTTTAAAATGTGTGAAGGTGAAGTTTTAGGACAATTTTCTGCTTTTGTCGTTTGCAGTCTCCATTGATTTATTTTTAAGAAGTAGTCAATACTCGTTTAGAGCGCTGAACAACATAACTCAAACATGTTCTGGTCTTACTTAGCCTTCTGATATATTAAAAAGGGACTGTGACAAACTCAGATGCGGACTCCAGTTATACAAGTGAAAACATAAGCCATCTAGATTAGAAAGATGCGTAACAAGAGATCCAGAGCAACAAGCCATCAAAGTTAACAAGCCTTAAAAAGAGAGACTGCTGGCAGCTGGCGCCAGAGTGTTTGAACTATTTGATAACAACTCAATAATGCATTACCCCTGACACTTGTCGAGCGTGCGAAATCTTATTCTCAATGGGACATTACAAAGATTTCTCATCCGCACCACTGCGTCATAACAAGTTTTTGTCCGACTGTGATGTAGGTAATATATAGAAAGATTTGAAAGCTGGAATCAGGTCAACTAGTAACAAAGAAATGAAAAACAAGCCCCTCATAATAAGTCTGTATATTGTTTTAACAGAAAAGCACTTTGTTGTGCTCAGATTGCTGTGGTGCATTACTGGCTTCAGGTTATACAAGTTAGAATGGGCAACATATTCTTTTGGGAACATTTACCAATACCGTATTTCTTTGAGATTCTGATTTGCCAACTTTCAATTTCTTTGTAAGCTCAGAGGTTTGAATTTTTGTTTTTTGAAATATCATTAGAACAGTTTGATTACAATCAATTCAAACTGCTATCAGTGCTTTCTTTCATGTCCCGTAAAAACCCATGCATTGTGAAACGGACATGAGAAATGCAGCCAGCGGAAATTCAATTTGGTAGACGTCAGCCAAAGGTAACCCCTCCAGGCCGGTTCTCATCCCCAGCCTATCGCACGGCAAACGCCCCCTTCCAATCACCGTACCGGCCAGGCAAGCCGCTTAAAAGCGGAGGAACTCCCATTCTCGGCCTTCTCGAAGCCTGCAAAGAATCGTTCTGGAGGAATCGCTTTTGTCTACTCACGCTTACTCGTTGCATGTGTCCCTGCTGTCCTCTGTCTTGCTGCGTGTGGTCCGCTCCTCCTCCGCGTCGCTGCACCTGCTGCGGGTCTCGTGCTGTGGTCCGTGGGTCTTTGCCGCTCTCCTCCTTTGCGGGCTCTTTCTGCGGGTCCGCCGCTGCTCGTCTCGTCGCGGCCTGCTGCTGCATACGGCCGGTCTGGACCGGTGCGGTGGGAGCTGTGCGCATCCCTGCCTCCTCGTGCCGGTACGGCGTGGTCCCGTTGTGTTGTCCCTTGTCTTCTGGCGTTGTGGGTAAGTATGAGACCTGCGGACGGTTTATTCCCCTCGCATTGTACTGCAGGCTCAGTTGGCCCCGCGCTTTGTACTGCAGGCTCAGTTGGCCCGTGCATTGGTGTGCAAGCTTCAGTTTAAAGCCCTCGCATTGTTCTGCAGGCTCTCTTAACCAAGCTCCGTTAAATCCTTCACTCTGACTGCAAGCTCCGTTATTCCTCACATTGGACTGCAAGATCTCAGTTTAATCCCTCACATTGGACTGCGTGCTCAGTTTTAATCCCTCACTTTGGCCTGCAGGTTCTCTTTAAATCCCTCTCTGGACTACGAGCTCTGTTTAAATCCCTCTCTTGGACTGCAAGCCCCGTTAAATCCCTCTGGACAGGAAAAGAAGAAAAATATGGTACTGCTCATATCTGGAACGCTTATATATAAAAATAAATGAATATAAATAAATATAAATAAATATAAATATGAATAAATATAAATAAATATAAATATAAATAAATAAATAAATAAATATAAAATAAAATAAAAAACTGCAGGCTCTGTTGGATCCCTCACACTGGACTATAGGCTTTCGGTTTAAACTCCTCACTTGGACTGCGGGTTCAGTTAATCCCTCACTTGGACCGTAAAACCTGTTAAATCCCTCACACTGGACTGCAGCTCTCGGTTTAATCCCTCACTTGGACTTCAAGCTCTCAGTTATAAATCCCTCTTTTAGGACTGCGGGCTATGTTGAATCCCCTCACCTGGACTACAAGCTCTCAGTTTAATCCCTCACCTCGGACTACAGGTCGTTTAACTCCCTCGCACCGGACTGCAGGCTCTCCGTTAAACGCCTCACTGGACTGCGGGCTCAGTTTTAATACCTCACTTTGGACTGCAAGCTCTATTTAAATCCCTCACATTAGACTGCAAGCTCTGTTTAGGTCCCTCGGCGTCTCGTGTCCCGCAACCTCTTCCCGGCTCTCCGTGAGCCCCAAGTCGGCACGCGGCTCGGGCGCGGGAGGTGTCCGTGGGCTACGTCATTGGCCCCTTCTCTCCGTCTCGCTCTAACCCGAT